TGGAACTCACTTGGTAGCCCAGGCTGGCCTCGAACTCACAGAGATCCACCTGCCTCTGCCTCCCAAGTGCTGGGATTAAAGGTGTGTGCCACCACCGCCCGGCTAATAATTTTTTAAATTCTTAGGGTTTTTTTTTTTTTTTCTTTTTCAAGACAGGGTTTGTATAGTTTTGGCTGTCCTGGAACTAGCTCTGTAGACCAGGCTGGCCTCGAACTGCTTGCTTCCCGAGTGCCAGGATTAAAGGCATGCCCCTTAACTGCCCAGCAACAACAATAATCTTAGGGTTGGGGTCACCACACCATGAGGAACTGTATTAAAGGGTCGCAGCGTTAGGAAGGGTGAGAACCACTGGGGATGAACAGTGAAGTCGGAGCCTCAGGAAGCTGGAGTCTCCGTCCCCCGGAGGCTCGGCTGTCCCTCCGCCAGGGTCCTCTGTAGCAGGCGGTCCTCTTCCTGACTCTTCCGTCCCTGCAGGACCCACGCTTTGACTTGACACTGTTTCCCTACTGCGTTGTCAGGTAGAGCCCTGTCAAAGTACCTTTGTGTGTGCATGCGTGTATGTGAGTGTGCGTGTGTGCACGCATGTGTGTATAAGTGTGCGTGCATGTGTGTGTTGTATGTGTGAGTGTGCATGCGTGTGTGGTGTGTGCACACGCATGTGTGTATAAGTGTGCATGTGTGTAAGAGTGTGTGAGTGTGTGTGCATGTGTGTGTGAGTGCTTGTGCATGTGTGTGAGTGCTTGTGCGTGTGTGTGATTGTGTGTGTGTGTGTGTGTGGCTGGAAATGGAACTCAGGGTCCCGCACATACAACTCCCGGGCTCTTCTGCTCAGCTACCCATTAGCCCCCAAATCACCTTACATCACAGGTAGAAAAGTGCCTGTCAGCGGAACCACCTCACCCAGCACACTGAACGATGATGTGTGACTCTTCAGTAAACAACTCCCTTGCAGAGTTTTCTGCCCTGATGGCAAAACCCTGGGCCTCTGCTGGATGGCAAGTGTGGGCCCCAGGCTCACACCACTGGCCTTGGTGCATCTGATGGGGGAGAATGACATGAAATGACAGCTGTCAGGCTACCCTAGACCTTGAGAAGTGTGGCAGACTCCTCCATCTGCCAGGGGCCGGCGGCTCAGTGACTCCTGGTCATAGCTCAGCTGTACACTCCTGAGTCCCTGTAACTCTTACGTCAGCTGCTTCCCAGGCTGTGACCCTCCATGGGGGGACCTCACGATTCAGCTGTCTGCCTGAGTCTGAAAGCAACCACCAACAAGTAAGACGTTGTCCCTACACTCCAGTCTCTCTTCCTGCAGGGCATCATAAGGCTACCCAGCCACCCAGACCTGGGGTCTGGCCCTGAAATTCCTCTCTGCCCTCTGACCTTGCCCCTTGTCTCCAGTCTTGAATAAAGCTGCATGGAGCCTGTTCCTGAACACGCACATGCTAAGGAGCACTTTCTATCCACAGTACTTATCATTGCTTGGGAGCAAAGCCAGAGGGTTTCCTGCTGGCGTGATGGAGGATGCTGTAGAGCCTATCACAAAGCACTATGTGGAAGAGCGTGGGAAGGCCCCAGCCACCAGTTGCATGGGAATTCTGTCATCCCCAGGCCTCTCAGGACCACAGGAAAGCGTGGAGGAGGCTCCCAGAGACATGTCTGCACAGTGGCTCGGATATTCCTACTCCCACCCCCTCTAAGGCCTGGTCAGTGTCTGATACCTATCTGCCGTACAATGTGTTCTGGGTACAGAGGATCCTAAGCAGTGGCAAGATGGGGACAGAGCTTAGCCACATGGGGCTCCGTCGCTCACACATGTACTCCACACACTCATGACATGCTAACACACAGGAGCACAGGAGAAAAGCATAGGGAGTTCTTGGATCCACACAAGGAGCGGGCTTGGAGGGCAGGAGGGGAGCTGCCCTCAGGAAAGGTGACCCTGGGGAAGGAGGAGTGTGTGGGCAGGAGCTGAACAAATGCAGACTTTGAAATGGGCTTTCAGAGTGTTTTCTCCCAGCGTTCAGGAGATGTGGGCTATCGTGGGAAGACAATGATGAGCTCAGAGGAGCTTCATCCTTCTCTGGGAATCTGCCTTCCGTAGAGCTGAGACTTGACCATCTCAGTCCGTTTTGTCCCTAGGGCCTGAATGGCCATAGGGACATGAGCATCTCCATAAAGGAACACACACCCCCTCTTCACAGTGGCCTCTTACCTAGCCTCTGTGGGCTTCTCAGACCATATTCAACAAAAGCATAACTAGTTTCTGTGAGCCCTGCTATGGCTGTGGGCTGTACTTTAGCATAGATGCAGAATGGAGTTAGGATCTCCCTGCTGGTCTGGGCTGTTCACCTGCATTGGGGTTCTGGGCTAAATGTCTCAGTTCACTTCAATATTTCCCAGACTTTGGGCTTGGCCATGAATCTGCTGCAGGCTGGTCTGCAAAAAAAAATAAATTAATTAAAAAAAAAAACCTGGAAGGTGGCCTCAGCATTGTGGGATGTCACTTTTATGTCGTAGTGAAAGTGTGGGCAAGGTTTTAGGGAGGGGAGGGCACTGCTCAAGTCAGATGAGCTGGTGGTTCACAGGCCAGACTTTCTGCAGGAAGCTGGAATGCTAAGGATCTCTGAGAAGTGACAGGGTTTCAGTGTCGCGAGGGAGTCATTCTCCCAAAAAGAAATCATGAAGTGATCGGCCAGGGCCACAAGAACACCGTGAAGCCTGGACACAGGACAGCAGCCAGCCCCTCTCCATCTGCGTCACAGTAGGCCTTGGTGGGCCCTCCATCCCCTCTGACACATCACTCACTTGGTCAACCAATGAGGACCCGCCGTGTGCCCCGCGGATCTCTGGTCCTTGCGCACACTTCATCTTGACAAGCATGTGGCTGGGAACACAGAGAGCCTGGGAGAGAAGAGCAGGCAAGAAGAAGGAGCTGGCCAGCTCCATGGGTCTTCTGTCCCCAGGCACCTCCCTGTCACATGTCCTCAGCAGAGGACAGCCCTGGACTTCCTCCTGTCCCTGAACTTAGTAATAACTCCCTCTGTAAGCAGCTTGCTTCTCGGAACACAGTTTTGCTTTTGCTCCAAATGTGTTTGCTGCAGTGAGGGCACCTGAAGTCACCCTGTGCCTCCCCTGCCCTGGGGCTCCAGCACAGTGGGAGGCCAGGGACCTTCAGGGGCCTCAGTGGGAGTGGATCTTGGCAGTCTTGAACATATCTCCACAAAGTAGGTACTCGGGGTGGGATGTGCTCTCGTCTGCCTCGAGTTTGGGGGAACTGGAGGTTGGACATGGGAAAGGTGGTTGTTTACCCACTGTGCCAAGAATCATGCCTTGATCCGCTCTGGTGGCTCCAGCAATTGTCCCGTCCCTGTGGGTTGATGAAGAGAGGGTTGTTCCATCAGAATACAGATGATGTCAGAGAGGCTGAGAAAGACGAGGAGACTGACTGAAGAGGATTCCCCTGGCAGTTGACACCTTCCAAGAACAGGGTCAGGACGTGGGGAAGGACGAGGGTGGATTCCAGACTGTGAGCCCGGCACATCTATTTACATTGCGGTTGCAAGCCTCTGATGATGGCCTGGCCGCCTGAGTCCAGACAGGGTTGGCCTGAGATAGGTTTTATTCTGCTGGTCGCAGGCAGGAGCCTCAGATGCCTGTGGAGTCGCAGGTCCTGTCAGGGCAGCTGCCAGAGCATGTGCCCAGGCACCAGAGTCCCAGCGCAAAGGCAACAGGACTCTGGTGAAGGAAATGATTCATTAGGCATCAATAACATTGGGAACCCCACAACGAGGGTGAGAGGTATGAAGAAGCTAGAGCTGCTGAGGGACTTCTGACCCTGGTGGGGACTTGGGACAGAGAGGCCATCACATGGCTGCTGTCCAGAGGAGCAGGTTCAGGGGCAAGTGTGAGATCCGCGTTTTAGCATCTTTGCTCATCACTGCCTGGTGGCAGCGGCCACAGGACCGGAGTGATGACTACTGTCCAGGAAGATGGAGTCCCACAAAGCACCACAAAAGCCTTCTCATTCTCTCACCAGTTTTAGCACTGGGAAACTGAGGCTGCAGATGGTGTAAACTATGACGCCCAACCTCCCAGCAAGCAAGCGGCAGTTGAACCTGGAGCCTGGGAGACCCCACTTCTGAGCCCCTCCCTCCACCATGACATTGCCCACCCTCTGGAGAATGGAGGAGCCTGAGGGTTACCCCCAGAGGAACAGTCTACCTGGGTAGGGGGCGTGCCTTGTACCCAAGGGTTGTCTGTATGGACAGGACCTGGCTAGACTTGGAGCACCAGTGATTAAGGGCCTGCTTCCCGGGGCTGTGTGGGTGGATAGGACCTGGCTGAGCTGGGGCCTCTATAGCTTAGGTCCCTGTGCCCGACTGTCCCTGTGGATGGAACCTGACGGAGGCAGGGCCCCTGCAGGGAGGGTCCAGACAAACAACAAGCCGCCTGGCTCTGCCGCCAGCGGGGCTCAGCTGCTGCCAGGCTCTCAACAGTTAATCGTCCGCAGCAGGATAAGTGAGCCGATTCTAGCTCCTTAATCAGGACAGCGAATGAATCTGAGACCCTGCGAGGAGCAGGAGCAGCCGCGGCAGCCCGCGGCACTCAGAGGCCAGCACTGCGCAGCAAACCCGGGGAGGCGTAGCGTCCCCGCTCGGCAGCCCAAGATGGAGCTCCGCCGCCGCCGGCGTCCTTTGTGCACCCCGGGCGGGCTTGCCAGCAAACAGGTCGCCGCCGCCGCCGACTCCTGACCGGTGGTGAGGGCGACAGCATGACTTTGAGCCTCATCTCCCTGCTGTCCCAGGACGTCACAGCCCTGTGGCTCCTGCTGAAGACAAGTGCAGGTGCGTCTGTCTCCGCTGCGTCCCCGTCCCTGCTGCGTCCCCGTCCCCGTTTCCCCCCCGGAATGAGCGAGTTGGCTGTGGATGTGTCGTAGGAGGCAGGGGGGTGGGGGGTGGGGTGGAGGGAGTCTGTGTAGGATAACTGAGTGGGGGACAGGTGGGGTTGTTCTGGTGCTGGGGTCCTATTGTTGACTCACACGGCTGGGTGCGGATGGGGGTGGGGCATGGGCTGGCTAGGTTATGGAGAAAAACCACCCTTTCCCGCAGGGGCGCGGCGGGGGGCGGGGGGGGGGCTTGGGGTGGGGGGCGTGATGCCTTGCCCTTGTGGTCTGGACAGTACCCCTCGGACCCGGCCTGAGCGTCCCTTGAGGACAGTGGCAGTCACATCTGCTTCCAGATGAAGGGTGTCTGCACACCTTCTTGGAAGGCTGGAAACGAATGATCCCCTTTGTTCGGGGGTTTTCCATGGACATGCCCGGCTGGCGAGCGAAAGCCACCTCCAGAGCCAGTGGCATGGCTTTGCTTTCCTCCTAGCAGGAATACCTGGCAAGTATTATCCCCGTAGCTGCCCATCTGATGGCAGAACCTAGGGGACAGCAAGGATACAGGGCTAGATGGCCATGGCCTCTCGGCAGTGGACTGGATGTTTCCTGGGGGCTTCGTAGTCTCATTGCGACCTGGTTCTGCCTCTGTTGGGAGGGCAGGTGCCATGAGGTGGTGCCGGTGCCCTGGTGCTGGGCTTTGGCACTAAAAGAACAAGGAAGGGGGCAGAGTCATCCCAGGAAAAGAAGAGAACGAGGAGCCTGGCAGAGAGGAAGCGGCTTGGAGCGCCTCCATTATTTCTGAGAGGAAGGGCACTCCTTTTGAAGTATTTTGTCACAATTACATTTCCTGCTGGTATTTCTGCCAAGCACTGATGAATGACCCATAAAAGGATTTTTGCGAATTTTAATGAGTCAGTCCTCAGCTCTGTGACAACGAATAAATACGGAGTGTCCGATTTCCCAGTGAAGCCCACGGGGACAGTGAGCGATCATAGAGGGTCCCCAGCACGTCAGAGGCAAGGCGCCCCGCGGAATCACAGCTGATATCTGCTTGTTTCTTAGTCAGGTGGAGTTCTGAGTCCTTACAACCGCACCTTCAATCTTGGTGCACTCCTATAGTGTGCTGTATTTTTAAGATATCACTCAGAGGTCTTTCTTTCCTGGGGGAGTGTGGTAAGGCTAGGGTAAGGGTCTCTGCTTTGCCTTCCAGGGACCATTTGTCAGATTTTCAAATAAACAGTTAGTGCGCGTGATGGATGCAACAGCCGCCTTCTGTAACTGTAGGCCGTTTCTCTAAGTGGACACTCCCCTGTGGGCACCCAGAAGCCATTTTCTGGGACATCCAGTGTTCATTAGTGCCCGTGCACTCAATGGGGACAGGTGGGCCTGGAACCCTGTCCCTGAGCCAGGGTGGGAGACCTTAAGGTTATCATGGCTGGTGGAGAATGGGTATGTCACGTTTGAGCACACATGCTCAGCCCAGGCCTGTCTGTGAGCCATGGGACCCGCGGGTGTGTGTGAGACCCCCCCCAGTCCCACAGTCCCACACCTCTCTGTCACTCTCAGTCTGTCTGTCTGTCTCGGTGTCTCTGCCGCACTCTGGTGGTTCTGACTGACTACACTGACTTTGTTCATAGTCTCCGAGTCCCCACCGGTCACCCCCTGTCCCCTCTGCCATCCTGTGCCCGCGGTCTGCTGCAGGGCCAGCTCTTGTCCCTTGCCTTGGTGAGGTCAGCCTCCTCAGTGTGCTGCCTTTGCTGTCTCTGGTGAAGGTTGACATAATTGTTTGTTTTTAGATTTGTAGAAGCCTTAGTTCTTAATGGGAGGTAAAAAGTCCCTCTGCGCATTTAGGGGAGGGGCACAGGATCCATCCCATCCTGGGAGGCTCTTAGTACCAGGCCATGGGGAGCCCAGTGTCCATGGGAACAAAACATAGCTCTCTGCCTGGGGAGCAGGGGCATGCGACGTGGGACTCTTTGCCCATCACTCAGCCTCAGCCTTGGGCTAGGCTGGGCTCATCCCACCTGCATCAGCACCAAAAACCCACTGTGTGGCTAACAGGGCATAGTTAGGCACTGAGGTGCCAGGTGGACTCCTGGCCAGGCTCTGACGTGCTAAAGATCTGCCCCCCCACTCTTCACATCCTACACCTCACCATGCCAGGTCCAGTCTGGTTGCTCCTTCAGAGATATGTTCCAAGACTTCCTGTCCGAGACTTCTAAGACTTCCCTTCCTGTCCTGAGTCCAGAAGTAAGCATGGCCAGACGGCCGTGACTCTTGGACTTGAGTGTTTGGAAACACAGCACCTGGAAGCTGGTTTTTCTGTTGCTCACTGAGGTCCCCAGGATGGGCAGAATGCAGGGACAGGAAGCAGGGCTGGGGTCTCCCTCTAGTAGTAAGCAGCTCTGCCCTTCTTTGGGTGGGAACCATCTTGAAGGCACCTCTTAGGCCTGGTTTGTGGATTTGGTTCTGGAGCATTGACAATATGGCAGGAGGCATTCAGAGGATGGGCATACCCCCTGAGGGCGACTGGTTCCGTGTCTGATGCCAGCAGACCCACCACCAGTCCCTCTGGGCTCTCTTATCAGGGATGAAGAGGAAAGGTCAGAGTGACCCCCAAGAACCAGCAAGAATCGGCCTTCTAATACTGTCACTGCCTGGGTTCTGCTTCATCCCTGGCATCCTGGAGGGAGAGTCCAAGGAGAGGCTGGGAGAGTACAAGTGTCACTGCCTCGTGGTGACCTTGGTCAAGGGCATAGCCTAGGTGATCCCGTCTCCTCAGCCTCCTGTGCACCCGCCCACTCTGTGGCCCACATCCTACCTCCAAGGAGCCTCTGATCACAATGGCAGCTACCACGCCGGTGTTTTTAGCCTTGACCCTTGTCGCCGCAGTGGGCCAAGGGTAAGGTGCTGGGTACTGTGTATCTGGCAATGTCTTCATAGAGCGAGTTATTGCTGTCCGCTATGTTAGCAGTGCCCACAGGCTGTGCTCACCAGACAGCAGCCTCCAGACCACGAGGGGAGAATTCTGGCCTCGTATCGGGAGGCCAGAAAGGAAACACAGACTGCCCGGTGTCTTAGCTCAGAAGTGTGTGGTGGGCGAGGCTAGTGCCCAGAGTGCGTCCCTCTCTCCTGCAGGCCGGTTCAGTGTCCCCCACACGGTGTCTGGAGCTTCTGGGTCGTTGTGGCGCGGCAGTGATGATACCTAAGGTGCCACAGTCAAACAATGAACATCATCAGCAGGTGCTTCCCGGCCTCCGTGGTGGTGGTTATCCCTTTCTAGGCCATCACAGAGGATTTGTGGAGGAAAGGGGAGGCTTCACTGCTGGTGGGCCTCGTGGAAAGCGCACTAAAAATAGAGCTACAATACGATCCAGCTGTGCCTCTCGCAGGTTTACACCTGCATCCCAGCTCACCGAGATGTCACAGCAGCCAAGGCGGATCTTGCCTTGGTGTCATCAGTGGGTGATGGACACGAAGAATGTGGTCCATAGACGCAGTGGGATACAACCTGGCCATAAAAAGACATCCTGTCATTCCAGCAGCCCAGATAAGCCAGAGAGCCCTGTGAAAAGGGAAGTAAGCCAGGCAGAGAGCTGGCTGCTGTGGAGGAATATTTGTTTGATCAAAGATGTACTGCATTTGTTTATGTTGCATTTGTGTTAATTAAATAAAATTAACCTGGGCTCAGAGAGGCGGGGTTAGCAACTAGTTGACAGGTAGGAACAGGGAGGAGCATTGTGTGGGTTTTTTTTAGTTGGGATGGTATGGAAGCAGAGAGGCTTCCTGGGACACCAGTAAAAAGAGAAAGTTAGCCAGCTGCTACTGCAACTCTCTGAGCCTGAGTTTGATCAGAACAACAGAGATTTAGTTAAAGCTGCCTTTAGCAGCAGCAACACAGCCATTGTCTGGGGGAACAGAGTTTCCCCCCAGGCTGCTAGTTCCAGCCAGGCTTAGTAGTTTAAAGAGCAGCCACTGTGATAAAGATCAAACAGAATTTTGGCGCCCCACATGTGGGTGCCAAATGCTGCAGGCTTTCTCGAACCACCAACCCCCAAATCATGACACGGAGACTTCTTATTAGTTATGAAGAGACTTCTTATTAGTTTTGAATGCTCGGCCTTAGCTTATGCTTGTCCCATTAGCTCTTTTAACCTGTTTCTCTCCA